ATAATAGAAATTAAATACAAGTATAAGAAAACCTGATAATGGATATTTTAAGAATCAGTGGAGCGAGTTGGTCCAGAAATGAAATATCTCAACAAGAAGATAAAACGTTCTATTATTCAAGTCGACAAAAAACGATCCACAGCACAAACACGGCATTGGATTATTGTTAAACAACAAAATAATAAATAAGTAATAAACGTAATAACTTCTCAAATGAATCATCATAATGCGTGAGGCGTATAAACTTCTTCTTCTTCACTGGCTTTACAATTCGGAGTGAAACTTCGCCGCATCCACTATCGCCTTCCATCCTCTACGATCTTACGCTTCTATTTCCCATTGTTGTACCCCAATTCTAGATAAATCGGCTCCAACATAATCCTTTCATCTTTTTCTCGGCGGCCTACTGATTTTCTATCATCTGGTCTTTCAAAAAATACTGTCTTTAACACTCTGTCATCCTCTGATCGTACCACGTGACCTGCTCATCTATTTCGGCTTGCCTTGATATGTCTAACTATGTTTTCAGTTACATACAGAGTCATCGATTCAGCATTGCGGCGTCTTCTCAATCCCCTGTGAATTCATCTCTTTGAGGGCTAAATATTATTCTGGGAACCTTTCTTTTAAATACTAGACGCTTATTGATTTCTCGCTCGTTGAGAGTCCATGTTTCATTGCCATATGTAATATTTGGGCGAATAATCGACTAGTACAGGGTTAATTTAGATTACCTTTTTAGCAGCTTCGATCTTTAACGCTCTATTTCCCGCAGCTATCCTTGCTGAGACCTCTTTTTCTATGTGGTTGTCAGCTGTGATTATCGCCCCAGAAGTTACTTTACTACTTCGAAGTTGTGATCATTAATACTGATGTTCTGCCAGATTTTTGGTTACTACCATGTATTTTGTCTTTTCTTCATTTATTCGGAGATCCAGACTACTTGTTTCCTCCTCGAGCTGTGAAAACACCTCTCTCACGTCTCTTGTAGAATGCGTGACTGCATCTATATCATCAGCAAAGGCCAGTAAAAAGCAAACAGTTTTGATCCTTGATCAGTAAATCCTACTGTCAGCTTAGACGATATTATACTTTGCATATTCTAAGCAAAATTGAACAGCAACGGTGCAATATATATTGCATATTCTAAAGCAAAATTGAACAGCAACGGTGACAAGGGATCCACTGCCTAAGTACTGAATTTATACCAAATGGCATCGATGTTCTGCTTCCTATCTTTACTTGTGCATATGATTCTTTACGCACATTTGCGTTAATTCAACTAATTTTCTTGGTGTTCCCATTTCTAACATTGCTATCCACAATTTGCTTCTTTTTATTTATTTTTTATTTTTTTTTCTCCTTGGCTTGGACAATTGTCATTCAGCCAGTCTCCATCAACATAAGTTTTTTTTAAAAGAATTTAAATATGTCAATTAGTGAAACATGATTAATATAATAATAATAACAGCTAAGCTAATGTACATACTGCGTTAATAAATACTATATCATATCTTTATTATAATTTAGTTATTGAGAGACGCCATCAGAAATTCATAGTGTATACATCTTACAAATAAAAAAAATAAAAATAAAGATATCTACCTACTATGTTAATAACTATAACTATGGTAATACATTTTTTTTTACTACGTTAGGACATAAACCCGATTCAACATCTCGGAGGTTTAGATCCTCTTAGTGATTGTTTTAGTATATTTTTTTTCTTATTTTGTTCTTTTTTTTAATGTATTTTTATAATCATCTTTTTTCTTTTATTTTTTGATTAATTTTTTTTTCTTTTTAAATCTATTTTTTTAAGTATTTTTTTATATTCTTTTTATTTTATTTTTTTTTTAATAATTTTTTTTTATTATTTTTTTCATGAATTTTTTTTAAACATAGGGGACAAATCTTACTAATTACAGGCATACTTTACTATCAGACAAAAAGGTTATCAAGCAGTTATACATTTTCTTCTCATTGAGTGATAGTAGAAAGAGAATATTAACAGGAAGAGGGATGTTCTTGTCTATCATTCTTTTAATTAGGTTGTTGGTGGGTTGTTTATACTTTTGACATTCAAAAAATATGTGATTTAAGTCACTTTTAATCTGACATTCTTGACAAATATCCAAATCTAATATATTTATTTTAAATAAATGTACAGGATAACATGCATGGCCAAATCTAAGTTTACTGATGGTAGTTATGCATTTGCGAGGGAGGACGAAATTCTTATACCAAGGTTGTTTTGGAATAATTGGTTGTATCAAACTGTATTGTGTTGTTGTGTTGTTGTACTACAGTACTATTCCAGTTTTCCAGTGTTCTCCCCAGTTGTTCATTTGTTTAGTTCTTGAACAAGCAAAAGCATCTAAGTATAATGCAAGGTTGATAGTTGGTAAGTGTTCCATAAACGATGGAATTTTTTGCTAACTGGTCTACGTGTTTATTATATGTAAGTCCTGAATGTGCTTTGATCCACATCAATTGTATTTTTTAGGTGTATTTATTAATTTCAAATAAGCAATTTTTAATTAAAAAAATGTATGGATTAGAAGTACTACAGGGTAGTTGCGGTTTTTGAATAGCTGTAAGTACAGATAATGAATCAGATAAAATTGCTGCTGAACTATACGATGCCAATTTAAAATAATTTAAAGCCTCATATATGGCCACAGCCTCAGCACTAAAAATAGAGAAATTTGTGGACAGCTTAAATATTTTTCCTATAAATTTATCTGGAATATAAAAGGCACAACCAGTACCCTTTGAACTTTTAGATGCAATTTGATTTGCAAAACAGATTTTGGCCAATTTGTCAGATAGTTGTTTAAAACAATACGACTTATTAAAGCTTCTTTTTATGGAATCATATGCTTGCTGGAAATCTATGAAGATTTGGTGCACATCGCGGTTAAATTCCAGTTTCCTCTAATATTAGTCGGATGGTAACTATCTGATCTATAGGTGACCTTCGAGCACGAAAGCCGCATTGGTAGCCGCCTAGAATATCTTTCGAATATGGTGTGAGTCTCTTTAGCAAGATAATTAGTAGCACTTTATACTTATACGATGTGCTAAAAAGTGATATGCCTCTCTATTGTCGGAATTGTTCTTTGTTTCCTTTCTTATATATGGGAATTATAACGCTTCCATTCCATTCTTTAGGCATTTTCTGTTGTTGCCATACAATCAAATGATTTCATAAAATTTTTGATGTAAAAGGTTTCCTCCTTTTTTTAACAACTCTCCATTTATACCACCATTTCCTGGTGCTTTATGGTCTTTTTGGAATTATATATGGTATTTCGATATCTGCAGAATTAAACGTGATATCTTCTTCATTTCATATAGGCTGTGTTACTCCAACACTTGCATCTGTTCTGACTGACTTCACTTCACTGAAGAATTTCCTTATTTGATTTCTCTCGCCACTTCTGTTCATTTCCCGGATTTGCTGTTCAAGGTAGCTCCTCTTTTTAGTTGAGGCGTATAAACCATTTACCATTAACATAGTCCAATTATATGCGCCCACACCCGACAAAGCATATCTAGAGACTGAGAATTTTATGAATAAAAAAAATTGCAAAAAGTGCTTTGACCATTTAAATAACAGGAGATACATACAATAATTGACGACTTAAACACAGAACTGGACGGAGAGAAGCAATTCAAAAAGGTGTGAAAGGAATAAACCGTGGGAAACTTTGACAGGTTTCTATGCAAGAATAATTAATCATTAAGAAAACCTATTTGCATCCAAGACATGTGTCATACTTGAAAATCTCCCAATATACATAGAAATCTCCATAACAGATAATAAGAAATCATAATAATTTAGTTATAATCAATAGACGCTTTCAGAGTAGTCTGACAAGAGTCGCCGCCTAAAAAGATCAGTAATGGTTAAAGACCAAAAACACTTATGCCTGAGGGAGATTCCTCTCCCTTAAGTCTCAGGGAGAGATTTCTAAACCTAATCTAACCAGGAAAAGATTTCCCAAAGTAATTAAAAGCAAAAATCCCAATGATTTACTGTATACCATAGTTTTTAAAAAAACTTACAATTAATTAAAAACTTGTGATGTGTAATGATATATATTTATTAAAATTTTAAATTATCCAAAAGAATTAAAAATTTCAGATCTTATTCGGTCCAATCGAACCACCATCAGTGAAAACCTAGATATAAGTATTTCCACGTTAATATAATTAATACAAAAAGGTAAAATTTATGCTGTTAAAATGAAAATGTGGTTAATACGTTAGGAAGTACTTAAAAAATAGTTAAAACTATAATACAAATATATTGAGCGCTGCCAGACAGCTCAGTTTCCTCAGTTCGACAGAGAAAACTGATGCAAAGCAGTCCCTGTATCCCTTTCTAATGAGCCTGGTTTATCGATCACGTGAGCTAAATGACTAATGGTAAGGTCACATGGTATATAAACATGGCCATTAGAAAGAGATGCAGGGAGTGCTTTGGGTCAGTTTTCTCTGTCGCACTGGGGAAACGGGTCTGTATTGCAGCGCTCAGTATTTGTAAGTGTCTTGCAATAAGGCAATGTCGTCATGTAGTCGATTAATTTATTGCGTAAAATTAGAAAGTTTTTATTTGGAATATATAATAAGAGTTTATAAATATGAGAAATTAACATTGATTTTACTGAGTAAAATAAAAGAAAGAAGAGGTCCAGAAAGAAAGTATCATTCGTGGCTGCAAGATATAAAATTGTGCGTAATTCGAAATAAAAGTCAAATTTTTATCCTTTAAGTTATAGAGAGGTACAATTACGAATATATGACAGATTAATATCTATATTGTACTTGATGATGAAGACCCTGATGGTTTACAAAATGTTAAGTAAATAAAAATGATCTCCAAATATGTTTATATTATTTTCCTGACAATTTTTTTGATGGTAATTTTTTGAGAAATGTTTCGAAATGTTAAAAATAATATGTAAATAAACACACAACTAAGCACTACTTACAGAGTTATTGTGGCACACCTCATACCCGTCCGGTTTGCATTCATGAGATCTAACAATATACTGGAGCTTATTTTCCGCCAGGAACTTTTTCGTAACATCCGGCCCGAAGTAGGTGCCAGCTCCTCGGAGACTGTTCGGGATACATCCTTTGTTTTCCTGGGGATCGGACCACAGAATGTCGAACACCTGCAAAATATTTCGGGATAATTTATACTAGGGTCGGGCACTTCTGTTGTAGAGTTGTGCGCGGAGTTTTTGTGCAAATTTATTGGATTGGGTAGGTATAATTGAGAATTGCGGTGTTGCGTTGGCACATATATTTTAGTTGCGTTAGAGAAATGCAGTTTAAAGTTTATGTACTTCTGCGAATAAACCTATGCAAACATAAATTTTGTATATAAAAAATTATTAAAATTTTTGATTTATAATTTATATCACACCCTTTCAATTTTGTTATCTCAGGTTTTACTCGTGCTTTAATATCTATACTTTACAGCTGATCGGTTTGGTCCAAAGAATAACGGAATAAAACAACATAATATGATATGAAAATAGTGTAATAAAATAAACTGGTAAAAAATATGTAAAGGAATCATAAATAAGACTTACAATCAATTTAATTTAACTATCAGACGACCGGTTTCGCTTTCTACAATATGCAAAGCATCTTCAGGTCTCGATACAAAGTTAAATAAATGCTGAAATAATATTAAATCCATATTATGGTGTTGTCTAATAAAGGTAAACAAAGTAGATGTTATAAAATTACAATAATTATGCCAATATTACATATGTGTGGTTTTTCAAAATAAATAAAAAGGTATAAAAAGTTTTAACAGACAAGGTAAGACCCACAAATTGTTATAAAATAGTTCATTAGATTGTAATAAATTAATAAATGAGCAAATAAATAAAACATTACTTACATGCCGGTACTCTATTAATTGATGGATGGTAGAACATGATTGAAACTATCATGTATTGTTGAATGAAGAACTTAAGTCTGCTATTGTAGTTGTTTGACAATAAACGGGAAGTTCTTGAGGAGATAGATTTGATCCAATGAAGTAGAGATAAGTGTAATGTGATTGTTTGTTAGATGAAAGTGATGTTATATACCATTGTATTATTTAAAAGTTATTTATACATATTCAAGAGATATATTTATGAAATGTGTGTTATTTATTGAGTATTTATTTTGTGAAGGTGACAGTTTTATGACAATGAATAAGATTAGATGTACAAATTGTGTGGGTGTGCAATTCTTTCAACTTGTAATTTTCAAATTTCTTTGATAAAGTTCTATTGGCAAAATAGTAGATTAAAAGTCAAGTATATAGAAATATTAAAGTTAAAACCATTAGGGACAATTTAAACACACAGGAACATAAAACACTTAGAAGGGACAAAACAAACATTAAATTTAAAAAGGGGAAGGACTATTATGCATTACATCTCAGTCTTGGAGACAATGAGTTTTTTTTATGTAATCTATTAGATTTTAGAGGTAAATTTGACATATGTAGGTTAAAATGTGGCAGTTCTTCTTCTATTTCTCAATAGTGTAAGTTAAGTTATCTAGTTTAATGAAATATGTTGAAATGTCTCTAAATTGTTTTAATTAAGATATCAAAAGTAAATTAATGTGTTTGATATTGGCATACTTTAACAATCTTTAATTAATTAAATTTAAATGTAACAATACGAATAATTGAAATACATCCCCCATTATAACTAACTCAGTTTAGTCCAAATTACAGAACAAATTAAAGTGATTATTTGGCAACTAAACATGTACACTTTGTAATCAAAACATATAACAAATTTACAAAATTTATTTGAAAATATTGTTGGTGTGAGTTATCTGTCATGGTGTGTATAAATATTTAATTCAAGTTCTGATATAATAATATGTAACTAAAGTAATAAGTGGATAATTATTGATGGTAATTAGTTTGTTTATGAATTCCAGAAATTGACTGAATTATTAAGCCTTCAATAATTAGTTGGCAATACTAATATCTCACAGTTGGGACCGGAAATTGGTTATACCAACAGGTAAAAGGTACTCTATTTAAACCGGTGTAAAGCAAATTTATTCTTATTTCAATTTTCCGTGTCACATGAACAAATATTGCTCACAGCGACATGAACAATGGTGAGTTTGTACAATAATTTAAGTAACACTTTAAAATTTTTTTAAATAATAGCTGTTTATGAAAGTTAATATTTCTATTTGAAAATGTAAATTTGCATATGATTGTGAATAGTAAAGATGTATTTAATTAATACTACTAGTCTGAACGATTTTTTCATGTTATGTTGGAAACCCTCAAACCACGTGTTGAGTTTGAAATCAAATATTTTGTAAGATGAGTATATTTCGGAACCAGATGGAATGTAATAATAATTGTGGGTTAAATAAGTTGAGGTACCATACCAGTTCAATACTGATATTTATTGTAGTTTTAGGAAAAATATTGTTTCTGGTAATATGTTAAAGAAATTCTGTGAACAAGGAACGTAGATCAATGGGGACCAGATTTTAATTTTGATGTAGAAGATTTAAACAATCTAAGAAGTATTTCAAATGCATTTGATTAAGTATGGGATTCTGGAATAAAATGTTGTTTGACCATGATATTGAAGTTACTTCTGAAAAATGTGTGATGATAAAGGATAATATATGGAAATCTAATATGATAAGTTGATGTTTGGGGCAACAATTCTATAAGTATATGGGTTTGCTGTAGAAACAAGAAATGGGGTAGGATCAGGTAATATATTATATCAAATTTTATATTAATACTGAGTATACTGGTGTGTATTCCAGTTCTAATTGTTCATTTAGTGTAACTGCTGTGTGATTTTTTAATAATTTTAAAATTTCTAAATTTTTCAGGTTATTTAATAAGGAGCCTTTATTACAAGTATGAAGGATTGTGAAGTCTGTTTGTGGATCAAAGATGTGGTTTGTTTGACGGATATGTTGAAAGAAATGTGATTGACCTGATGTTGGACGTTCTATATATCTAAGATGTTCTCCTAGTCTAATGTTGAAGAATTTACCTTGTCTGTTAAAACTTCTTATACCTTTTTATTCATTTTGAAAAAACCACAGACATGTAATATTGGCATAATTATTGTAATTTTGTAACATCTACTTTGTTTATCTTTATTAGACAACACCCTAATATGGGTTTATTATTATTTCAGCATTTATTTAACTTTGTATCGAGACCTGATGATGCTTTGCATATTGTAGAAAGCGGAACCGGTTGTCCGATAGTTAAATTAAATTGATTGTATATATATATATATATATAAATATATATATATATATATATATATATATATATATAAATATATTATATATATATATATATATAATATATATATATATATATATATTATATATATATATAAGGTTCTTGAACTCCTAAGTGGAGCATGGACGCGCCATCGGGTTCTATTTTGCGCTAAGGCCTTCACCTCATTCCAAGACTTTCCTTGTTTTCTTATCTCGTCCATGATGGATCTTCTCCAAGTTTGTACTGGGCGACCTTTTTTTCGTTTTCCTTGGGGATTCCACTCTAGGGCAGTCTTTGCAATACTGGAGTTATTTTTTCGGAGTGTGTGACCGATCCAACCCCACTTTCTGGACTTTATTTCATTTACTACCCTCTTTTGTTTGGTCAGGTGTAGTAAATCTTCGTTTCTGATGATGTTAGGCCAGAAAATACGAACAATTCTTCGTAGACATTTATTAACAAAGACCTGCAGTTTGTCTGTAAGGGTTTTTGTCGCTTTCCAGGTTTCACATCCGTAAAGTAGTACAGACATGACATTTGACTGGAATATGCGGATCTTTGTCCTCGTAGTGTATTCTCCAGACCTCCAAACAGGGTTGAGCATGCTGAAAGCTTGTTGCGCTTTTCGTATCCTCATACGAATATCGTCTTCTGTACCTCCGCTTTCTGTTATGACACTTCCAAGATACGTAAAGTTGTGGTTTGTTTGACGGATATGTTGGGAGAAATGTGATTGACCTGATGTTGGACGTTCTATATATCTAAGATGTTCTCCTAGTCTAATGTTGAAGAATTTACCTTGTCTGTTAAAACTTTTTATACCTTTTTATTCATTTTGAAAAAAACCACAGACATGTAATATTGGCATAATTATTGTAATTTTATAACATCTACTTTGTTTATCTTTATTAGACAACACCCTAATATGGGTTTATTATTATTTCAGCATTTATTTAACTTTGTATCGAGACCTGATGATGCTTTGCATATTGTAGAAAGCGGAACTGGTTGTCCGATAGTTAAATTAAATTGATTGTAAGTAAGTCTTATTTATTATTCCTTTACCTATTTGAAGCACTCAAGACTTAAGACTCACACAAGCAACACATTCATGATTTGATTAAAATACCTCCAAAAATTATTAGCATACAATGTTTATCAAATAAAAATCGTTCTACGTACGTGAACTTTCAATAATGCATTAATAATATCATACAATTACAATCTGAAATCGAGCTTATTATTCTACATAAACAAATCAAGTAATATTCAGTGTCCTTCCTAATAATATAATATTCATTGACCCAAAATTCTCAAATTGAAATTAATTATGAATGTTTCCCCGTTGAAACGCTTAATCTGCCTTGAGTTGTCCAATTCCTCGTTCTATGCATCAGTTCTCAGCAGCCTCCTATGTAATTGGCAATATTAAACAAGATATTTAGTCTCTTCAATGCTCTTCTTCGAATGCACGTACCTTTCCAATTATGCCAGCCTCTTTTCCTCCCGCCAAACTTAATCTCTCGTTCCGAAATAAACAGCGATACGTAGAATACAAGTAGGAAAAGTTTACTTACAAATTTGTACCAGATCAGCTACCTTCGGACACACTTACTATACTAACTCACAACTTATTCTTTATCACTTACTACCCCTGGAGGCCAGCTTGAAAACCAACCATTCACTTTAAGAAACTGGAACTAACTCACTATCTCATCTCATCTATCCATCCATCCAACCTCTCATTATTTACCTCTTCACCACCCATTTCACCACTTTCCAAATTCTCGGCCAATCAGAAATTTTTCTGTGCGCTTAAATTTTGTTATTTTTTTGTATGAAAAATGCTTTCAGAACAAGAAAGTAACGTGTCCATTTTTATTACAAAATGTCAAGTAGTTTAGGCGATAATACAAAAAATTAATTTTTTTCTTCAAACGTCAAATAACGATGACATTACTTATTATCTAACTTGATCCTGTCAAAGTTTGATGTCTCCGCCGGCAGCAGTTTTTTTCCCATTTCTTTACAGCGCGCGGCGGAGGGAAAACTGTTGTCATGGCAACAATATGAAATATGTCACAAAGCAACAATACAAATGTCATTAACAACAATTAAACATAATTTTTATTTATGAGTAATATTAAAAGTACAATTAGTTAATGAGGCATTTTCAAAATTGAAACCGTGCAAAAATGTTCCCGACTCTTGATACGCATTGGTAATTGTTGATGATACTGATGGTCGAGAACAACTTTCAGCAATCATTCCCGATGTTGGCGAATCATGAGGTTTAAAATTTTTTGAGCATTATCGTTCTTATTTTTATTGAATCCTCTATATATCCTTCGGCAACCGTGCTTGATTTCCAGCCCCCATGTCGTTTGAGGCATTCTAGATTTCCGCCTCCATCAATTAAAAGTGTTGCTGAAGTTCGTTATAAAGAGTGACCCGTGTATGCGCTTGCATCCTTTAAATTTAAATAACTAGCTACTTTTTGGGCTACTGCGCTGATCGAATGTATTCCCATGACGCTTCGGTAACACTTTCCATTTTGGTACTTGATAAAAAATCGGTTTTCTGTGAAATTTTTAGGCCGCAGTGATGCATACTTTTTATACAGTTTAATGTAGTTTTGACCAATTATCTTAAAATATCTAATTTGTCGTGTTTTACTGTCTGGGATGTTGATAATTATTACATTTTCTTTATCCTCAATGTCCACAGTCTTCATTTTTACCATTTCGCCGCATCGACAGGCGCCGGTAACCCCAATTAACAAAACAATCTGAAATATTTTTATAATTTAGTAGAGTATACTACATGCTTTGCAATATATTTTTTTTTACCTTTAATCCTAAATACAACTTATCTGGCGCTTCAAACAAAAATTTATCAAACTCGTCTTTAGTGAAAACTTTAGACTTCTTTGCATTATATCCTTCGCTTGGTTTTTTCAGAAAGGCACGTAACTTTAAAAATTTGCTTATATCCACATTTTTTCTAATACCTATCTCGGATTTTATCATAGAGTATCGTGACCACATTGTAGAAGATTTCCATTTATTTTCATTTTCCAATATATTAAAATATGCCACTAAAACGTCTTCGGTAACTTTCCGTACTCCTCTTGTATCGCACCACTCTTGGAAGTGCTTGTACGCTAACCGATACTTTATTCCGGACTTGGAGGACCCCAAACATGCTACTGCATCATTAGCCGCGGACTCAATTTCGTTTAGGTTTTCCATTTTCGCACTAAATTTGCGCTTGCGGTTGCAACAACAATAAGCTGTCTTTAATAATTGCAAACAACTGTCAAACGACTGTAACCAGGGAGACGCAAATCCCACCGACGACTTAATTATTTTAATTTCTAACATCTAGACGACTTTGATAGTTGTCACAGTTAATTTCGAGTAAAAATAGCGTATGAATTGTACTATTTATGGTTGAAAATTGCTAAGTTTGAAGAAAAAATAGTATACTTAATTCGGCAAAGAAGCGACTTTTCTTGACTTGCCCTCTATTACGCGCCTCACTTCGTTCGGCGCGTAATATCGGGCGCGTCAAGAAAAGTCATGCTTCTCCGCCTCATAAATACTATTATTTTGTAAATTTTGGAATAAAAATATATGCCATTTAAAAATATATTAGATTGTGTACCTACTAGGTCATCGTCATAGGACGGATTTTGCTAAAATTCTTAAAATAATAGTATTTTTCCCATAATATCACTACCATAATATCTACCTTGAAACTTTAACTTATAGGTTTACTTTCAGAAACCACATTCGAGTTTTATAAATATAGTTATTTACTTATCATTTTACCTGTTTCCACTCCAGTTTGTCGATAACTTCGGCACCCGGTGCTGAGCTGTCAGTCAGTGGAGGTCTCAATAATGATACGTACTGAAACAAACAAAGAGTATAGTGGCATGAAATAATGAAACTGTACTCTAACGAAGAACAGGTGAAATATCGATATCTGTGTTGTTTATCGTAGTCCAGGAATTCGTGCTACGTTACAAAGAACATCTATTACGGTGTTTGAATATGCTACTCGTCAATTTATACATATTGTGGTTGGAGAGGCCGAAAATAAACATGGAAATTTATTATGAGTTCTCAATAAGTCAAATCGGTCACAACAGTAATTCACCAACACTAATTATGAATTTTGAAGTGGATAACTATAATTATGCAAAGAAAAGTACAATATAAGCAACAATTTTTTAAAATTATATTTTTTAATTAAGGTTGATCCAAATAACTCGTAAAATATTTAAAATAAAATTTAACATCGTCCACGAAAATAAAAAAATGAAAATCAATTACCATAGTAAAATTCTTTAAATTACATTTCATAAGAAGCAAAAATCTAATAGATTTCATTATTAGTAAATCTGACAATCAATACCTTGTAGGACCTCTTTGCATCATCATCATATTTGGCCCAGCAATCCTTTGTGGATCCTGGCCTGTTCTAAGGTTCGTCGCCATTCTGTTTGGTGTCTGGCGATGTGTAGCCATCTATTGATATTTAGTATCCCTAAGTCGATCTTAACTCCGAACGGTCGTGCGGATTATGCAATTAAAATGTAAGAAAAATTATATCACTTTTCCTTTAAGATCAGACTAATAACATGAGCTAGACGAGAATAATAACTAATCTGCTGCTAAATCGTAATATTGTCGTCGATAATTACTTAACTTTCCGTGTTCGGAAGACCAACAGCTTTAAATTTTGTATTTTCAATGGTTGACTACATAGATGACCCTGCCATTCTCTAGAAATAGGTCTTCTTCTATGCAGGTCTCTATCACCTCTGTGCCTGATAGTAGATGATGACTATTCTGAACCGCGCCACGGTTGCAGCTATCGTCCTGCTGGTATCCCCATTTTTTCAGGTTACTAGCACACCGTGATACGCCAGTTCTTAGTCTGTTCAGCGCTTTTCCAAAGGGATCGTGCTTTTTTCAGAAAGCTTTTCCGATATCTTAGTCTACTTGGCTGAACTTGGTGGTTATAGAAGGTGTGTCTTCGATCCGTCTTCTGCTTCTTTCGCTCTATCTCTGACGTGACCTGTTTTCTGATAGCAGGTGGAGCGATTCTAATTATAGGTATGTGTCAGTTTCAGGCAACCAGATATTATACGTACCGTTTCATTTAACGCAACATCGACGTTTTTAGCGTGAATAGAGTTTTCCCACACTGGTGCTCCAAACTCGGCAACAGAAAAACATAACGCTAAGGCAAAAATACGGAGAGTGTGTGGTGGTGCTTCTCATTTTGTATTTCTTAGTTTGCGAATGATATAATTTCTTGCACTTACTTTTTCTTGACATCATGACAGTGAAATTGATAAGACAGAGTTCTATCCAGATGTATGCCGAGGTATTTTGGCACCTCACTGTGTTCCAGAATTTAACCACGCCATTTCACCTCCAGTGTCCTTTGGGCATGCTTTTTTATAAGGTGGAAAACACTCACCGAGGTTTTTGTAGAATTTTGTTTCAGATAGTTTTCGTCATAGTATAGTGCTAAACCTTCTAAGTCATTTATCAGTTTTACTTCCACTTCATTGACGGAACTTCCCTGAACTGCCACAGCTATACCATCCGAGTAAATAATAAAATAATATGTCTTATTTGTATGTTTTTGGGATGTTCGGCGCGAGGACACTTCCCTGTGAAAGTCCATTTTTTTTATTCCTCCACCGACTTTTCTTTGGCTGGAGCGGTACGTAGAAGCGTCTATCCTAAAGAAGACATTTCATTCCCTTTGTTAGTCGGAAATCCTTTTTAATTTCGCAGAGTTTTACCAACAGCCGTTGATGGCTAATTGCGTCATAGGCGGCAGTCAGGTCTATAAACGCTACTCCTGTTATTTATTTCCGTTCAAACCCATCTTCAATATGTTGGATAATATTAAGAGTTTGACTGCAGCAGAATTTCTGGGCCTAAACCCTGCTTGTTCAGGAATAATTTTGGTGCCCACAGATTCAGCGATCCAATTCAGTATAAATATTTCGAAAACCTTGAAAAGGTGACACAAAAGATAGACAGGTCTAAAATTCTTTGTATCGCCGGATCCTTTCCTGGTTTTAAGAGAGCCACCACTTTAGCTTTCCCCAGATTTTGGGGATTTCGAATGTACGGACGTAACAGTTCATCATTTTTACGAGCCACTTTAGGGTTTTTGATCCAAAGTACTTTATTTGTTCTGTTCGTATATCATCTAGGCCAGCCGCTTTATTATCTTTCATTTATTGGATCGCACCTCCCTCATCTCCTCTAGACAAAAGGAGGTACCTAGAACATCCTCTTCTTCGTTGATATTTTGTTGTACTCCCAATTTATTTTTTCTTGATGTCGTCTTACCATTCATCAGGAGACGATGGGCTATCTAATCGGGTGTGATTTTTGTCAGATTAAGTGTCGAGGGCAGCGGGATTGTTGTTAAGATTCCAAATTAATTTCCTGTTTTATTTCATGTATAGACTCGTGACCAGCTTGCACCACCTGTCCGTTCTGTTGGTGGATGTCGCATGTAGCACTTTCTCCCCGGCCTGTATTTTTTCTTCAGAAAAGGGATCGTCTTCATATACCTGCTCTTATCTTTTAAGTAGGGTTTAAATTCTTGATTTCGCCCCGCTAAAGATATTTGTTTTACAATTTGTACAAATTTATCGTATGAATCACAGCACGGTAGCTGGGTAACTTCTTGATCTAATGCTTCAGCGAATTTTTCCCATTTTGCTTTAGTGAAATTGAACCTTCCTTTTGAACAATTTCATATCTGATTGCCACGCTTAAAAGGCAAGTTATTGGTCTGTGCTGTGTTTTTGGAAGGTCTCCAATTCTGTCGCTGACAAATATATTGTCTGGGTTGTAACCTCTGTGCCGTCTTCCGCTGTTGAAAGACGCGGGATGTTTTGGATCAAAAATAGTTTGAGGTTCATGTTTTCAGCCCAATTTTCTAGTTCTTCACCATTGGAGTTTGTTCAGTTATACTCCCACGCAATACTGTGACAGTTAGTCACCCAGTATGAATTTTATTTGTTGCAATTGAAAGTTATCCGTTTCCTCAAAATAAAAGTCAGCGTTTCACGGTTTTTAGATGAACGTTACCGTACAAAGACTTTATTTTCACTCTGAGGATCTCGATGTCATCTTGATGTATTAAAGATGTGAAATCTATGTCGGTATCTGGTCTGACGAAGACTGCGCTAGCATATTAATCATGTGGTCTCTCGAGTACAAGTATTATACCTTGAATCCTAGGTCTGCGACTTGCAGTACCTCGATGGGTTTCTTGAACCAGTAGGACATTGACACCATATTCTCTGCACATATTAGAAAATAGATCTTCTTTATTTGCTGATAGTCCTTCAACGTTAATAAAAGTGGGCGTCATCAAAAATGGCTTTGACAAAGACCAATGGCCTTTGCATCTATGTTGGTGCACAGTTGGTGCACTGTTGTCGATGGAAGGGATATTGAGATTAATTAACGTTAACACACAAAAAAGGTAGTAAACAAGATTTGTATGACTCAGAGGTCTATGGAGCACCAGATTTTGGATGTCTCTCTAAGAGATCGAATTTCAAATAAAGAAATACGTCGTAGCACAAAAATAACAGATGCTATTAAGTCGCCAGATTATCAAGCAACCGATGGACAAAACGTATTTTCGAGTGGAGGCTAAAAAAATAAGCACTAGGGAGTATAGGACGCCCGTCAACCAGATGTACCAACGACCTGAAGTGTGTTAGCAGTAACTAGATGCAAGCCGCACAAGACAAAGACAGATAGAAAGAACTGACGAAGACATATGTCCAGCAGTAGACGCATACAGGTTGATGATGATGAAGCCAGAAGAAACAGTACTTATTGGTGCACAAATTTTACCTAGCCATGAATAAATTTCATAACAGAGGAGAAAATACATGTTTTTTCAGGGTTAAGAACTTTTCTGAGAAACTCTTTTAAGTTATTTGATCTGACAAAGATCCAAACTGAGCTTCGTTATTTATTTTTTTTAAATTATCCCTATCTATTGTTGGTATGCATATTTTGTTACAGATGAAAATCTTTATAAATTATCTTATCCAGATGTGAACTAACGTTTTGTTTCAGCACGAATAAATTTTCCTTTCTACTCTGATCTACTGATCTATTATTACAGACACGTGAACATATCTCAACAACGAACTTTAGAATTATCATTGTCGGTGTGGTGTGTTCCATTTATTATTACCAAGGGTGGAAAACAGAGCTGGATATAAATCAAGGGGCGTCTGTATATTGGTTTAAATAATGGATGGGTAAGAGTGATATTTATTACATAGGACTACAAAATTGTAGGCAATGACAGAGAATTACATATTAGTTTAATAGTTAAATAATGACAGTGCATATTATTCTGAAACTGTTATTCTGTGTTTTTTTATGAAAAAAATATTAAACTTCTAAACGGAAACTTGAAATAAAACATATCGTCTACTACATATTATTTAATTTTGTTTAATTTAATACATGCATCTTGAATAGTGGTTTACAAAATGTGGATCGCGTTAAAGCACTGAGAGAGTCGCGAAATGATTTCCAAAAAAAAAAGAATCTCTTTTTCAAGAACTAGTAAGTAAGATGGAAAGCAAAAGAGGAGCGATTATTTTGATGAAAAGAAAGTAGTAACCAAAAATCCATTTTACATTTCGTGATGGCGAGCAATTTCAAATTCATGGAATTAAAATGGAATTTTCCAGACATAAAATCTATGGTATCCAGTAGTAACAAGATATTTGCGTTACAATCTCCCTTTTTATTACACAAATTTTGTACGAAAATATCCCAGAAACAAGCAGATTCGAAACTTTTGAATATCCAACGCGATATTGAATTTGAAG